GAAATTTTTGAAAAAATTTGGACCCTCACTTTTAAAGTTTCTCAGATTTGTGGAGGAGACAGCTTTGCAAAAAGTTTTAGAAGTTGAAAACAGGCTGATTTGTGAGGAAATGTGCCAGATATTGTGATAGGAGCTGATACTATGGTCACCTTGGGTAAAGAGATGTTTTGGTAAAACTACTTCTGAACATGAAGCATTTGAATGTTATCACGGTAAGAGCCAAACTGCCATACTCTCTATGACTGACTGCTACTGTCTATATAAAATAAAATTGTAATTTTAATAGTGATGACTACACTACACTCATATCACATATGTCTGTCTGATTCCACATTAGGCAGAAGCCTGTGCTTTCGGAACGGGATTGCTGATAAAATTACGCAAGAGCTTGTACTATGGCTAAAGCTTGAGCTAATTGACTGATAAAATAATTAAATTAACTTTACTTTTTTTACATTAGAAAATAAATACTTGCAGATCTTACCACATTTGGTTTGACCCGGGAATCAATAATAATAATATTTCGGACATGGCACGGATGGCGTTGTGTGTTAAACACAACGCCATCTAGTTTTCAAACTAAGCAGAGCTTTTACTAGTAAAGCTAGATTGACTGATAGAATACTTATATACTTCTTTTGTAAATACATACATATTTACACCCAAACTGCGAAACAAATATTTATATATCATACAAACATTTGGTCTGACCCGGGAATCGGACTGAGACTTCAGCACAGAAGTCGCATACGCTACAACTGCACTGCTATATCACACAATTGGTTTGTCCTGTGTACAATACAAACCCATGACCTTAGCAGTCAGGGTCACTGCTAAGGTCATGGGTTTGATTTGTACACCACCATGATCCAACAGGTCCATTAAGAATGCTTTAAAACAATATCATAGTTACAGTTCCAACTGAAAGCATACATTTGTAAGCTATACATGTTAATTGGTATAGTTATCATCATCATCAACAGCCTTTAACAGTCCACTGCTGGGCCATAGGCACTCTCCTTAGAAAGGATGTTTTGGCATACTTTACCATGATGGTAGGTATAGGGTTTGTTTCAAAATTTTCCAGGGTAAGTATAACTTTAGGAATAAAAAATTTAAATTACCTCAAAAATTGATCAAAACATTTTTTTTATATTTGCTATAGCCGTGGTATAGGTGTGGAGGATTAAGAATATGGAGTTGTCCCCAACCCCCATTCATCCCGTGGGTATGGTAAAGCCGACTGAGGAAGCAAACTATGCAGGAAAACAGCATTGCAAAGAGAAGAAAAAATTTGACACAAACCCTATAACAACCCATCTGGCCAGTGTGGTATAGTAGGCCAAAACCTCCTTTCCAGGGATTAATTTTTCTAATGGTTTACATAAATAACTAACTTTGCTGTAATATAGCCAACTTTTATTTGTTCATATGTATGAATTTCTTTTGCAGCCTTTCAGGAAGAGGTCACACTGTATATACTGGTGTAGTGGTAAAAAGTTTAGATGAAATTGTAAAATTCACTGAAAAAACAAATGTCTTCTTTGGAAAAATGGATGAGGAACAAATAAGAGGCTATATAGCAACTGGAGAACCAATGGACAAGGCTGGAGGGTACGGAATACAAGGGGTGGGAGGCTCATTCGTGGAACGCGTAGAAGGAGATTATTTTACTGTAGTCGGCTTACCATTGTTTAGGCTTTGTTCCGTGCTGTATGACATGTTTAAACATGAAATTTTACTATAATTTTTTTTTACTTAATTAGAGACAAATTTTATTAAGTTCAAATTAATATTACGAGATGTTGTGATAAAAATTATTATAGAATACTACTGTGATCATTATTTTTTTTTGTTAAGTATAACAATTTAAACACCAAAAACACATTCTTGTTGTTGTAAGCATCCCTGATACAGATATGTCAACAAGTTGAATCATAATTATATTAGTACATTAAATGTTTTGTTTTCTAATAATCTGTTTTCATTATGCCTTTTCCTTTGACATTGTTTACACTTACAGTCTTGTAGTACTTATAAGAAAAGAAAGATGGCGCACGTATCATTTATCTATATGATGAAACGATGCCCAATGGGGCCACAATTTTCTCGAGTGCAGACCGCGTACTGGAAAACGTAGTGGGTAGGACACAAGGTGGTCCGAGGACCTTGGTGAAAGCCGTTGAATGCGGGTAACAAAGGACGGTTTGTTGTGGCGATCCTTGGGGGAGGCCAGCTGTGGATGTCTTTCAGCTGAAATGATGATGATGAATCTTTTTTAAATCAAATACTAAAATTAGAGAGAAAATATATTTACTAAAATAAATTTATATTAGTTTAAAAAAAAATAAACAAAATTATATCAACAGAGTTATTTTCAAAATGGATGTAGTATAGTTAATTAGGCATAATAAATCTTTCATAATAAATTTTGATTGCGCCTATAAATTTAGCGTTCGCATTTCACAAAGCGGTGAATCTATAAGACAATACGTTTACTCCTGGTGCTGGGGGAATGGCTGAATCTGCTAAATGGTCAAATTAAGCGATGGTAGCATTATAGACAGACACAGCATTCCCCGAAGTGTCTTATATGCCTACCGTTATTGTCTATGAGATTTCTATAAGCTGGAACTACGAGCACCGCTCTGTCTATGGATGGTTTAGTGAAAAAAGGAAAATCAAACGAAAATAAGTCTTAGGGGTTTAAGATGTAAGAATTTACACTATCAATAGGTTAGTCTTACTCTTAAAAAGCGTAAAATGTAGGCTTTTAACGAGATGGACTGTCCCATGTAATATATTTCAAATACTTATCATTAAATACTTCACCAATCCCTGAAAAGTGGAAGTCTTATTATACTTATATGACAAGTATTTTCAGTTTGTATCAAGGTATTAGTAATTAGATAGTATTGTATTAGTAATTAATTATCCCTTCTTCGCTTGATGCGAATGTTAAAGCGAATTCGGTTTTGGTGATTCGCGCTCGTTCACTGTTCCTAGCGAAATAGTTACTTAAACGTGATAACAGATGGTTCATTTTTCTTTCATTTAGCAATTTTAGCATTAGTATTAATATTTTAGCAAGACGATTTATTAAATTAAATTTAGTCTTCGCGTTGCTGCGAATCAGAAAGCACGCGCACCACTGCGCGACTTATGGAAATCGTGGTTTAATCTGTTGAATTTATTTTAATAAAACTCGAGAATTTTCAACAAATAAAAAAAAATATTGCGTCGTTACCATTTCTTTGGTTTCTATTGATACAGCGAACGGTTAGGTGAAATAATATCAAACTACCTACATTAAAATAGTTAAATTTCTCAAACACAAAGATCCAGCTCGACGAGACAAAGTTTTTGCAATAACGTTGCACTCTAGCAACTCGTAACCTATAAAAAAGACACGAATACCGCTCATATCACATCAACAGCCTATAATAGCTCCTCCTTAGAAATGAGGTTTTGTCTTATTATACCACGCTGGCCAGACGTTTTGGTATTGGGTACCGCTCAGTGTTATCTAATTTAATTTGTCAAATTAAACATTTATTATGTTTGTGAGGTACAGCCCTCTTATTTTAACTAACAAAATCACCCACATCCTTGACAAACATTGCTTTGCTTTGCAGACACTAGCGGAACTTTTAAAACCATAGTGTATAATGATACTTTTATAATATGTAATCTCTACAGAAACAATGTTGAGTCATACCACAGACTCGGTAACAATAGATAGCAATAAGAAAAATCGGATGTCCTAATGACCTAGGCGCCACTTTTAAGTTTTATGCTTCGTTCTATCAGAACAATTAGTCATGGGATTCTTTGTTTAGTTGTTTTGATCAGATTTTTGTAGCACTTGTAGTTGATGGCGTAGCATATATGTAGGCATAATCTACATATTTTGGCAATTGTGTTGTCATTGCTAGGGCTCTAGGTCGAAAACATTGTTTAAATATGTGATAATGGGTGATATCATGATCATATTCCATTTTTATTTATTGTTGAAATCCTTTGTTCCGGCTTGGATTTCTTTTAACATCATTTAGAGACTTTATAGACATTGGTTTGTAACTCGAAAATTAAATTCAAATAAAGAATTTGCAATTTAGCATCTTCACACTTATTTCTAATTTTTGATGTCCTCTAGTGACCTCTGGTAACCCTCTCAATGCTACAAACTCACTCCCGTCTCTACATCCAAGACAGCGATACTCCTTCCCCTAGCTTCCTCGCCCTGCCTCCCTTACTTACCCCTATATACCATCCTTTATTTCTCCCGCCTGAAAAATGATTTCCTTCCCAGCCAGGGTTGTTGTCAGGTAGGCGGCCGACAATAAAATACACCATCTAAAACCTTATTATTGTTAATTGAACAAGTTGGTAAGATGTAAAATTGGCGTCAATTTCATTAATTGTAAACTTGAAGCGGGCGCGGCTGGTTATATTTCGTAAGAGATGTAAGTCATAGATATAAGGATGTCAGAGATGTAAAGATTTATTAGATGTAGAAACTATAACCCGGCAATCTCGTGCGCGACCGTCCCGCGGGTGACAGGCAGTGGCGGGGGCGAGGTAGCGCGTCATTCTAGCACACGGCTACACACGACGACGACGTTTCCCTTCCCCGCTACACCACCCGCTACCCGCTGACATCTTGAGTACCTCGTCCCGCCACCGTCTGTCACCCCGCAGGACGGTCGCGCACGACGTTGATGGACTATAATCCTAAAATTCACACTCTGGAGCAAGAAAGATGTGATGATAACACATAAATTACATCCAAATACAGAACAAATGATCGTGTCATTTATTCTGTATTTGTAATTTATGTGGTTGCCATAGAAAAGGCTCCCTTTAGTTTGGGATTAGGTGAGCGTGTGTGAGATGTTACAAGTTATTATTATTTATCGATTATGAGTTCGAAAGTTTCCAGACATAGTGTATTACACTATATTTGTAGAGATACTAGAAGTACCTATTTAAAAAGTGTCAAAATATATACATATATGTATGACATTACAACATTAATCGATCATTAGCCACTCATCATTAACGAGACACCGTTTAGCAAACTGTTCATTGTTTGCTTCGATAGCAGTGTCACCTTCGGTCGATTCATGGAATCTTACAAGAAACGATTGTATTGTCGTGGGATTCTCGTGTGAATACTTTATTCGATTCCTTATTCAAGGTATATCATATAGGTACCCGTTTGGCTGTCAGTCATGTCAAATCAGTTTCTCTTTGAACCCATGACAACCTTACTTTGTTTAAAAAAAAATCATGTAATAGCAGAATATAACGTAATCTTATTATAAAATCTTTTAATGTTTGGTTTAACTATTTTTCTTAAGACAACTCCCGAATTTTAAATATATCATGTGTCCGCGGGAGATTTTACAGACATATCTACATAAAACGGACACAAAGAACACCTAGACTCAGAACAGTTATTTGTGGATAAGGCAAAGTGTTGTCGCATGTGGGAATCGAACCAACAACGCTCAATGTAGTAGAAAGCCGCGAGGTGACCGCTTAAAAAACGCTGAGAAATTTATAAAATCGTAATAACTAACTTTAAAATTATCAAGAATGTAGCGCAAGACCGGGTTAAATGGCGCAATTTGAAAAAGAATTGCAAATAATACAAAAAGTGCAGAAAAAGATAAAAAGTATTACATCTATAGGTACTAATTTAATAAACGAAATACATGAACAAACGAAGGATTCATCATCATCATCAACAGCCTATAACAGTCCACTGCTGGACATAAGCCTCTCCTTAGAAAGGAGGTTTTGGCCTACTATACGAATAAACGAATAGCCATAACGAAGGATTGCGTGTACATAATTCTCGCATAAATTACAAAATGTCAGTATGTTTCTAGACAAGACAATATCGACGTGGGTGCAAAGTGAATAATTACGTTCATAATATACACGTTACATTTTCCTGGTCGGTTCTTGTTCCTAGATCATTATTTCATTTACTTTTCCGCGTACACCATTGTGTCTACGTTCTCGTTTCGTCGCACAGTTGCTGTCATAATGCATGGGACCGCAGAAACTGTGTTACGTATCGAAAGTTAGTGATGTCACTTATTGAATATCGATTAGAAGAATATTGATATTGATTATTATTATATTGTTGTAGCGTACCGTTTACGCAGTTATCGCAGTTGATATTTCTAGATATCCGAAAAGAAAATTCTCGAAGCTAAACCTGAAAAAAGCTTATGTTTTTTGTAGGGGGAGGAGTTCTGACTGGGATGGTCAAAGTCCTCATGTTAATAGAATCTATGGGCATAGGTGAGATAATATTTGTTTTTACTAAACGATGTTTATCAAAATTCTTAACGGTATACCTATCTTATGAAGGTAAGTTTAAAGTTTTGACAACTTTGGAAAAACATAACCGCTAAAATATTCTCAGTACCTTGGAATAAGCTTAAGATTAAGAAGAGATGCCAAATTTTTTAGAAGACTTGGATTTGAACGCAGGCAACTATATCTATACAAATAAATAAAATTGAAGTTTCTGTTTGTAATGTCAAAACAATAGATTTTTTTCATGCTTACACGGTTATTTGCACGATAATTATGCCTAAAAACTAGTTTAAAATATTTGTGTTTGTGCCATGTAATCTTCAGAACGGCTGGACAGATTTTGATTACATTTTACTACCGTGTAGCTGTCTATATAAGGAGTAACTTAGGCTATTTTTTCTCTCAGAAAAA